AGGCGTAAGCAGGCATGGGCAGTTCTTCAGTGTCAAGAAGTGTGTGGCACACACCTTGAAGCTGCACAGCATTGGGTACTCCTGCTGTGCACAAGTCCTGCTGTCTGGTGTTTGGGGAGAGATATCTGGGATATGCTTTCCCTGGCTCATCCCAGAGGTTTTGTGAGGGTCAGGGCTACTGTGAATTTGGCAGAGCCCTCCCCCGGTGTGTGCGTGCACTGATTCTCTTTCTGATCTGTGACTCCCCCCTTCGTCACCTAAGGTGCGAACCGGAAAGTGCTCTTAGACCTGCTGCAAACTGTAGGGACCGAACGCTGCCACCCACCCAATCCTGACTCCCCAAGCCTGGCACCATCTGCCGCCTCCTTCCTGGAAGGCCAACCTTCCTCGCGGAGCAGCTTCAACAGCTTAGGTAAAGCCTCCCCTGGCTGTCCCTCACTCTCCTTCCTTCTTGCTTCACAGTGCTGTCTCAGATCTCTTCTTCAGATGGGCCATGCTCTGGGGACTGTCTCCTAGCTCTCAGTTTCTGATGACTCTATCCTCATTCAGCTGTTGCAGGATCCCGTCTCTTTTCTCTGTTTTTCCTGTGTGTGTACTCTAAGCTCCTGTACTGTAAACTTTTGTTTTATAGACCTGACACAATGCAGCTCTGTAAAAAAGAAAAGGAAGACCGATTCCCTCACCCCTCTGGAAGAGGTGTAGGACTTAGTTGCCTGCATGCACTTTATCCACTGGGTCATGTACAGAAGGGGAGGTACTTGCTGGTCTGCTTTGAGGACCTCCCAGTGTCATGCTGGGCACAAGGAAACTAGAAGCGTTGCTCGTTCAGATCCTGGAGGCCAGCAGCTGGAAGAGGGAAGGGTTGAAGCCCAAGGATAAGCAACCCTGGTCACAGGGTTTATGTTATGCATAGGAAAAGCCTAAGTTAGGACATATGATTATATCGTAGCTTCTACTCTGTACTGCCCGGACTATGTGAATAAGCCCATGGGTCTATTCTAGGTGCTGGGCTTTCCTCCTCTGGGGAGCTCTGGAGCTCAGGCAGAGGCAGTGTGAGGGGTTATGGAGTGGGCAGTGGTTGAGTTGGCTTGGAGGGAGGCTCTGACCCTTGTGAGAGGAGCACGCAGGCAGATAACAGCCGCTTGTGGTCCACTTCCCCTCTCAGGTTGGTGGTTTCCTTTGTAAAGGCCCTCCTGTGGGGCTAGAGGACAACACCCCCCCGCCCAGGCCCTGGAGCGCATCTGTATCACCAAAAGTCTCACTGGCTGGAGACACCAGGACTTTCTTCTCACAGTGATCTTGTGAAGGTGACTCCCCTAGTTTCAGCTCTGATGCAGTGACAGGGCAAGGCCCTTTTTTGTCCTCGACTCTGGCCCTTGAAGAAACTCCTCACCACATTCATTGTCATCCACAGCCACCTTCCGGCCTGGGCACTGGCAGGAGTATTTAACTTCTCTCCCCCTGTTCTTTCTTCTTTTGGTTTCGCAGGCTGGCTTCTCGCCTAGGCTGGATTGGTGCCCCACACCCAGGGTGGCCTGGGTGTACATCAGCTGAGGGGTAATGACCAGCCACCCTGTCCCCACAGCTCTCCTGCCTGGGTTACCTCACAGGAGTAGATTTAGGTTTTATCTTACGGCTTGCAGTAAACTGCGTAGTGGGCACGCTGCCAGGCTCTGCCTTCTCTCCTGCCTACTGTGCTTATCATCTGCTTCTACAAATCCTTTGTCTTTGCCAGTGCATCTCCAACTGCCTGCTCTAAAGGACGGGGTTTCTCCTCTTTGGTGCGGAGTTTAATCTCAGGGGGGTACCTGGTGGCTGTGGGTAAGGTGGCTTGTGTCTCCTGCAGGGAGCTTTATTCGACTGGGAAGGGAGTTGGATGTTCTCTCTGTGATTATGGTGGATACGATTTGTCGCATGGGTGGGAGGTTTGGGTACCCTGACCAAGTTTTCTGGGGACAGAGAGAAAGTAGGAAGAATAATTGAAGGTTTTCTAATAGATTAAGTATAATTTGATTGACTAATATATCTGAGGCACGTATCAGAGGGTTCAGGTAGCAAAGTGGTCTCTAACTTTTTTTTTCCTTTTGCATGTTCATGGCCCTCTAGGGTACAAGGACCTTCTGTATATTTCCACAACGCTTGGGCAATTGTTGAAGGCACCAGATGTTGTGGACTCGCCCAGTGAGGGTAGAAGAAAGTAAGTGAGGAACAGCTTCTGTCCAGGCTCCTGTGCAACTTGAAGGTGAAATCCATGTGTGTGAATTCCTCCCCACTCACACCTGTGGGTGTGGCATCCTCAGAGCTGACATTATTTAATGTCCACTGATGTTGCAGTTTTTGCCAGAAACCCCCCTGCTCCCTGTTGCAATAAATCTCTGTTCCCATAAACGACCATCGCCTGTTCCTGCCTGCAGCCCTGGAGCTGCGGTGGAGCCCGAACTAGCAGGTGAAACCCCTGCTCTGTCCCTCCCCTCTGCCACTGCACACCAAACGCTGTTTTAGCTTTGTGATTTCCCCATCTCCATGCGCTGTCCTGATGCTCACCGAGCTCCTTTGCCAGCCTGTGCACTGCCTCGGCAGTGCCTGCACCTCACCTTGCACGGAGCAGAGGGTGGGTTGGCACCGAAGTGCTGCTAGCAGGAACTTAGGGCTGTCTGGTTTTTATTTATGAGGTAATATCTATCATTGCATAATCGGGGACTTGGATGCATTTTCGGCTTGTGAATGTCTCTCTGGTGTAGAGGTTAGAGATGGCTAAAAGAGCAAGTGGTATTGCAACAGCTCTGATGAGGCATGTCTGGCCGTGTTCAGTCTTGCATCTGAGGGAGCACCACTGGATTTATTTGTTCACTGATAACACTGTCCACAGCAGCGTTCTTGTTGATGACCTAGTTTCCCACACCCAGGGCCGCGTTCCCACATGGTGTGCTGTGATTTGTAAGTTGTCCCACAGCTCCCAGTCATCTGTGTCTGTCTCTCTCCAGTCATGACCGCCTCCTGTGCCTGGATGGAGGGGGCATCCGGGGCCTGGTGCTCATCCAACTCCTCCTGGCTATCGAAAAGGCTGCGGGCCGTCCTGTTCGTGAGATTTTTGACTGGATCGCGGGGACCAGCACTGGGGGGATCTTGGCCTTGGCTATTGTACATGGTAAGGACAGTGCAAATAATGGGTCCCTTCTTGCTCCTGTGGGCTCAAGCGCTCCTCTGTGGGGAGCGGATGAGGGTGGGAGCTGCCTCTCTGAGTCCCAACTGAGATTTGTGTCTCTGCCAAAGGAGGGAAGGGATGGTTGTTAATGAAGGAAAGCCTAGACCTGGCTTTGTGCTTGAGTCTCACGTCAGCTGGCCTTGAGCAGCTTACTGGGTTTTGGGAAGCGTGTGGTGGTGGACTGCAGTGTTCTGTTCTTCCTGCTCTCTCCACCGGGGTTTCACAACAAGGTGATGGGCACTTTCTGGTGGTGGCAAACTATGGTCTGAGCTTGCCCTTCCTCTTTAATCCTTCCCAGTCATGCCGCTGAGGTCTGAGCAGATGACAGGCAGCCTGGGAAGGGGATGGGATTGGGAGTGGCGCCTCCCATCTCCCACTGGTCCTAGAAAGTCCTGGCTCTGATGTGCTGTTTGTTCTGCCTGCCCTTCCTCCCACCCCCTGCTTCTGCCAACGCTGTTGCCTGTCTCAGGGAAGTCCATGGACTACATGCGCTGCCTGTACTTCCGCATGAAGGACATGGTGTTCCGGGGGTCTCGGCCCTACGAGTCAGAGCCCCTGGATGAGTTCTTGAAGAAGGAATTTGGGGAAAACACCAAAATGACAGATGTCCAAAAACCCAAGTAAGTCCTGCCTGGGGCTGCACTGGTTGATGCTCTCCTGAGTGTGCTCTAGACTCCTCTCAGGAAAGATGCTCAGCCTCTCCTTAGAGCAGATCTGGAGGAGTGTGATGTGCAGACTGTTGAAGCCATAACTACTTCTTTTCCATTTTTCTCTTATTCTGTCATGTCGTCTCCCCCAGGGTTATTGTGACAGGGACATTGTGCGACCGGCAGCCAGCTGAGCTCCACCTTTTCCGTAATTACCCCGTACCAGAGACAAAAACCTCCACTGAATACAAGACAAGCGCATCTTTCAAACCACTCACTCGGCCAGAAGGTAAATGCTGGCACACAGCAGTCCAGCTGGTTGGCAGGAGAGGGGGCTGTCCCTCAGAGATGGAAGATTTCCTGTTCTTCCTCCCATTGCTCTGAAAACTGGGGTGTCCCAGCGATGGCTCATCCTTGATCTTGACTTGTAGCTTGGTCCTAGTGATGGTTCCCTTTTCTCCTCTCTCCTCCTCCCTTGGCTTCTCTTGTACCAGGAACAGGGGCTGGCTAGCAAGGTTCTTGAGGAAGGGGTCTGCTAGAGGAGTCCTGCGTACAGTCAAAAGCTGTGTAACTGAAGCATGCAGCCCCCTCAAGCTTGCTTCTTTCTTTGTCTGGCAAGCATAAGTGGTTCACCATCAAAATGGCAGCAGTGAAACTGGTAGAGAGTGAGTTTGACCCAAGATATGTAGAAAGTGGTGAGAACATCTTTTAAAGCCCCCCCAAGTAATCCTGTGCATCCAAGCAGAGGCCCTACTTTTGGGAGAAAGAGGCACAACTATCTAGGGCAGGGTCTTCTGGATTGCAGGCTCTCTTGCTCTCTGTTGGTGAAGGCAGGGTGCTTCTTGCACACAGGAAAGTTGCTGCAAGAGACTGTATGCTTTCTCTCCCTCCAGACCAACTCGTATGGCGTGCTGCCCGCTGTAGCGGTGCGGCTCCCACTTATTTCCGGCCGATAGGCCGCTTTCTGGATGGTGGGCTGCTAGCCAACAACCCGACCCTCGATGCAATGACGGAGATCCACGAGTACAACAAGACGCTGATCAAGAAGGTGAGGGAAATCCTAGCCCTGACTGGTAACTGGGGCTGTATTGGCTCAGTCACTGAGCCTCCCTTGAAGGGGAAGAGGGTTGGGGAATGAATGCCTCTGTAGCGGATAAACAAGTTAGCAGTGCAGCACCCTAGAAGAGAGTGTATGGAGGGGGTGAAATACCTCTTCTGGCAAGGGTGTGAGATGGGGAGGCAGCCCCATCAGCCTGTCGTTGCTACTTTGAGCAAGGGTGATTCTGTTGATGGTTGTGTGTGGCCCTTGACGCAGCTCTGCAGGGTCTTTTTCTGCCCAGAAATAAATGGAGAAGACAATGGTGGGGCACTCTGCAAGGCTGAAGAGTGAATGCCTTCTGTGGTGGCAAGTTCTTCAGAAAGATGACTAACTACTGGCAGCTACTGCTCCCTGTAGCTGAAAAGGGAGGGGTGTTGCCAAAATGACTGAGAGAGTTGGACAGTTTCATAGTCATCTGGTCCTCAGACTCATTTTTGGGGTGGTCCCATGGGTTTGAGTGCAGCCAGGGGTGTAAGGGACAGAACAGTGCAACTGTTGAAGTCACATGGGTTATACCTGTTTCACCAGGCAGTACTAAAGCGGGAGGAGGGGGGAGAGAAAAGGCTACCGAGCCTTTTGGCTTGGCTTTCAGAGCTTCCCCAAGACTGTTGTGGAAGACGTGCTCCACCTTAATTGTTGGTCCTTGCGAACAAATCTTCTGTTTGTCCGCAGGGTCAGAAGCAGAAAGTAAGAAAATTGGGGTTGGTGGTCTCCCTGGGGACAGGGAAGCCTCCGCAGGTACCAGTGAGCTCTGTGGATGTTTTCCGCCCCTCCAACCCTTGGGAGCTGGCGAAGACCGTCTTTGGGGCCAGGGAGCTTGGCAAGATGGTGGTGGATTGTGTGAGTACTGGGAGGAGGGGATGGAGGAAGACCCCTGGTGCTGCTTGCAGGGAGGGAACAAAGGTTTCCAGTCTTCAGCTTCTTCCTTTTGGAAGAAAATTCTGATCATGGCCAGTTCAAGGAATGGATGTAGTGGGTAACCTAAGAATTGCAGGAGCACAGCAGGTCTGAAGCCCTGTCTGCCTGTTCGGGGTTTCAGGTGCCAAGGGAGGTGCAGTTCTTGCAGCTGTAAGGAGCTAAGGTGTGGGAGAGCTGAGGACAGGATGGTGGTCAGTGACCCCTAGGAACATTAGCAGGTCTGAGTTGTGAAACTCAGTATCTTTCCAGGGAGCATTGATTATCATCTGAGCAACCTGGACCAAAAAAATCACACCTCAGGAAACAGCATTCATTTTTCTTTAGAAAAGCTTTGTTATCCCCACTGGGAAAACTAGCAAATGCTAGAGAAGTGGGAGTATCACTAATAAAAAGCAGTAGTTCAGAGCTGTGGATAGGAGTGTGTAATATGCATATGTTCTTGGATGCTTCAGAAAGAAGCTTATTAAATGTTGTACATGAAAACGCTCCAAATGAATGAAAGCCAGAAAGGTCAGAACTGAGGTTTTGACTATAATCTTAACTGTGTCGCTTTATTTCCTCTTAGCTTCCTAAAGCCAGAAAATACCCAGAGAGGTCTGCTTCCCCTGTCTTTTATTTCAGGGCTCCCAGGGAAGCTGTCCCAGGATAGCCCAGAAAGCCTGCAGTAATCACAGGCTCTACTGATACTGGGCTTGGACAGAAATGGATAGAGATGAAATCCCGAGGAGGCTGTGATTCAGATCATCCTGGCAGTTTCTTTAAGGGAATCCACTTGGTGCTGTGATGGAGGATCTGTAGGGTGCAATTTCTTGTGTCCCAAGGATCCAGGAGCACTGTTCTTATGTTAAAAAAACCCAAACAAAAAGCCACCCCACCCTTGGTGGTGAATGTTGCCATCCAGGATGCACTCGCTCCTGGTTTTCCCTCTCCCTCTGCGGCTTGTACAAGTTCGACTTGGTGCCAGGGGAGCCTCTTGCAGGCAGGGGGAGAGCAGTGCGACGCTCCGGCTCTAACTGTGGGCCTGTTTCTCCTGCAGTGCACTGACGCAGATGGCCCAGCTGTGGATCGTGCCAGGGCCTGGTGCGAGATGACGGATGTCCCATATTTCCGGTAGGAGCTTCCTTTCCGCTCTCTGCACAGACCTATTTTTAGCCTTCTCACTTCAGACCTGGCTGTGGCATGCGTCATCCTAAATCGTGTCCCCTCCAGCAGCATGCCTGCCCAGACCTGTCCCCCCGCCCCCTTTCCTCACGCCTCGGTGACATATCAGAGGATGCCATGGCCCACTTTGTGAGCCGATGCACTGAGCGCGCTTGTCTGGGATCAGTTAGTGGGGGCTCGGGAGACGCTGTCTAACGGGGTCCTTGGGGGATCTGCATCCTGCCCTATTCCACCACGCACGGCGTGTTTTGAGGCTCGTGCCTTAGGTGGTGCCGTTGCTGAACTGAGTCTCAGCCTTGAGCGTGGCTGCGCCTTGCAGGAGGGGGAAGGCCTCCGCTCTGCAAGCCTTCTAGATAAAGGGAAGCGAATGCCCAGGCCGGCGGGAGCTGCTTCATACAAGTCTTGTGCTTGGCACGCTTACCGCCTTGTCGCGCTCGTGTTTGTGCCCAGCTGGTGATGCCGTCTTGCCGTACGCAGGCTCAGCCCTCAGCTGCACACGGAGGTGATGTTGGATGAGGTGAATGACACCGTGCTGGTGAATGCTCTCTGGGACACCCAGCTTTACATCTACCAGCAGCGGGAGCAGTTTGAGCAGCTGGTGCGACATCTCTGCCGATGACTGACCTGGATGTTCCTGTTCAGCATCCCCATGGCAAGGAAGAGCAGACACTGAAATGGCTCGGATTTGCTCTTGAACCAAGATAATTGAGGTGGGGGAGGGACTACTACTAATGATGAATTAATGATATTTAATAGAAAGCAGCGCACGTACATGTGTTCCAGGACACACCCATGTATTCCCTGACACCTGTGAAATGCTGACAGTTCTCTTTGTACTGTAGCCCTATCTCTGCTGCTATGCTCAGTTTTGCTGCCCTGCTCTCTGACCGTACAGCCCTTCCCAGAAGCCAGAGCCCCCACCTACCTGTCTTGAGCAGCTGGAGTCTGTCTCCTGTCTGTGCAGCACCTCTACTGACAAAGCACCGTGCACCTTCCCACATCACAGAATGGGCCGAGGCCGGATAAAGCTTCAGGGATTACTTGGCCCACTGGGGCCAAGGTGTTTCAGAGTGTATAGTATGGGGAAAAGGGATTATTCTTCCCTCAACACACCCAGTTTGAAGGGGAGCAGAAATACTGCAACTTTCTGCAGTAAATACGACGCAGAATGTTGCGACTGGCCTTGGGAGAAGGGGAAACCTTTCCTGAGCCAGTTGTCTTCTGTAGCACCTTCCCGTTTCCCCTCTGAGATGGGCTGGCAACACAGGTACTGACTGTGCCCAGGGTGGGAGCAGATCCCCCCCAGAGACTGTTTTGTGCCACTTGAGTTGCTGTGCTACTCTTTGCTCGAGGGCTGAGATGTGAAAGACTGTCTTTGCTTGCAGCAAGCTCAAGATGAGGGATAATAGCCTTGGCTTGGTAGAGAGATCGCTTCTCTTTATTCTTAATGTGGAATTGAAATGCTCTGAGATCAGTTCCCACCAAAGAATCTGGCCCTGTGACAATTTGGATTTACTTTTTTTACTGGTAGAAATCCCATTGTGAATGCTACACCATTCAATGTTTCTGCAGTAAATTTTCATATTTATAAGTAATTTATGTATCTATTTGGAGGCGTTTTGAGGAGTGACCTGAAAAACTGAATTCTTAATCATCTGCTTTTGACTGGATGGACTGTTGTGAACAGTGCTTCTATACAAAACTAACATGACCTGAAATAAAGAGAGGTTTGCATTTGGTTCCATTATCATGCAGTCCATGGTTCTCTTGTCTCTTTCTCCATCCTACAAGGTCCCAGAGGGGTTCTGAGCTGACAGCCTCTGAATTTCTTACAGGTAGAAAATCAGGAATTGGGCTCCTGGAGACACAGGGTTATACTGTTTGGGCTGAAGAGGTGAATGGCCTGTCCCTGCAGCCAGCCCTGGGAGCGTGTGTGTGGTGCGGGTGGCTGGCTGCCCCACGAAGCACAACACTGCGTGCTGGGCTTAGCTGCAGCCAGTGGCGAGGCTTTGGACCAGCTCCCATGCGAGAATCCTCTTGGAGCTGGTCTGGCCTAAAAAGAGGAAGACTGAAAACCCTCAGGATACAAATGACTGGAGGCGGGGTTTTGACTTTGATATCCCCAGGTGGTTCCTGGACAAGGTAACTGCTGCAGGCTTGCTGGACCTGGTGCTCACGGATTCCTAAGGGACGCCGCTGGCAGGAATGTGGCTGCTGAGTCATGAATAGGACTAAAAACTGATTATCTGCCTTCTGATCTTCACTTTCACAAATGAGATTGTGGAATTAAGGGACTTCTAATGCGGAGTAAAGGGTTTTTTTTTTCCTACATAATGGTGGGGCTTACCTTCCTGTGGAAAACCAAAACCCCACATCTTAGGGTGGAGAGAACATGAGCTCTTTTCTGCTTTTTGCCCCTGGCTTGCCCTCTCCCCCTCTATAAGGCTGCACCATCTGCAGGGACTTCCTGGAATGATCTGTGCTTGGGCTTTGCACGCAGGCAGGGAGAGCAGGAGGGTTCAGGCACAAGCTCGTGCCTGCCATTAGGGAGTCTCACTGTGACCGGGAGTGGGAGGGATGCTAAGGGCCGGAGGGCTGAGGCCTGGGGTGGGGGAATAGTGGGCAGGGAGGAGGTGAGACCTGTTTTGAGCTTTCCTTACGTTTCCCCCCAGCCCCTGCTATTTGCTGCCTGCGATCGCAAGCTGTGTGCGAGGGACCTGAAGATGCTCTGCTAGCACAGCGAGGCTGAGCGAGCCACCTCTGAGCGGCGGGAGGGACGGGGGCGGTGCGGGGGGGGGGGAGCCATAAGGCGGTTACTCTGGCAGGTGGCTGGCTCCGCAGGTGTCAGGGCAGGGAGAGCTGGGTGCCAAGCCAGAAATCAATAATTCAAGGAGGCGGTCATGTGCCCTTCTCGCTAGCTGTTGCAGGATTCCTCTCTCCCCAGAGTCCGGTTATTTCCAGAGATCAAGTTCCAGCCTCTCGGCTGGTGAATTATTAAACTCCATTCCCTTTGTACCACGTCTGTGTCTTCCTGCTGTCCTACCTTGCCAGCGACAGGCTCTTTCCATCCAGCTGGCTGTACAGAAGCAGAGCTTGCTGGGCCAGTACAGCACTTTGTGCTCTCCTTTGCTCCTTGTTTCTCCATAGGAGAGGGAAAGGGCTCTGGAGATGGACCTGTCCTACAGATCCACCATCTCCATCTATAAGGTGAGTGCCGACACCAGAGGCTGCTCCTGTCTGCCTAGGGAAGACGTGCGGGTGGGAGAAGAGCTGTTTTCTGCCAAAGGCTCTCTTGAAGGGTGGACAGCCGAGGGCTGGATCTGTCTCCAGGCTGAACTGCAGCAGCTCCTGTGGGCGCTGGCTGTGTTTGAGAGCAGACAGCTGGCAGGAGGGGAGGGTGGTGTGGGTCTTAAGGCAGATCCAGGAAAGAACTGGGCAACCGGTGTGGTTTGGACACAGAGCATGTTTGTGAAGGGTGACATGCCTTGGTTGCCATTAGGAAGCTGGAACTCAGTCAGCTGTTTTCCCCTTTGCTGGAAAGAGCAGTCTGATCTCATGAATGCTTCCCTGTGCACATCAGTGCTGCACCAAGGTGGTGAGGGCTGAGAGAAGGGGGAATTGCTTATTCCAGCCTCTGGTCTTCTCTGCTGTGGGCAATAAACACCTTTGATACATACAGCAGGTAAAAGCGGAGAGGCTGGTCTGAAGCAGTCCATCCCTTCTCTTAGCAAGCTGCTGACTCTGGCAGTGCACCAAATCCTGGCCAGGAAAAAGTCGTGTTCGTGCCTGGATAGTAAGTGGTGGCCCTCACCCCAACAGGCTCAGGGGTGAGGGGAAAGGCTGCTCAGATCCCCTTGCAGTTACTCCCCTATCTGCAGTGGCTGTGGGTCCTTGGGAGAAAGCTGTCTTCAGGTGACCACCTGGCTCTCCAGTGAGCTGCCTTGCCCTCTGGCATTGCTCCTCTCCTGGCTGGCTGGAGAGGACTCAGGGCAGCCGAAGGTCCCAGCTACCTCCGATGCAGGGAGCTGACTTCGTGCACGGCTGTACATCACCACGGCCATCCAGCATTGTGGCTGGGGGAGCTCTCTGGGTCCCTGCTGCACCCAGCCGAACCACAGTGGGAGGGCATCGACCTGCTGAGGTCTCTGGGGCATGGGGAAAACTGGTGTTAATGTGCTTCTGCCTGGCCACAGAGTATGCTGGAGCAGTTCAACCCCGCGCTGGAGAACCTGGTGTACCTGGGGAACAACTACCTGCGTGCCTTCCACGGTGAGTGGGGTTCTGCATGGCCCAGGCTCCGGATCGTGCTGCTGCATCCATCCTGGGTGTCCACTGTGCATCAGGAGGGACTGTTGTCACCCAGGGCAAGGCTGCTGGTCCCCCCCACCATGGCATGTCCTCACCTGCTCCTATTCACTTTTCTCCTGCTCTAGGACCTGCTGCTATTATTAGGCACAGATGGGGAGAGACAGGGTGCCCTTGCCTATAAGGCGAGGTACCAGGGGGTGGCTGTCCTGTGTACTGCTTGCTGGGGCTGGTGATGGTGGGAAGACAGGCCAGTCCTTACCTCCCCTCTCCTCTCCTCGCAGCATTATCCAAAGCTGCTGAAGTGTATTTTAAGGCGATTGAGAAGATTGGGGAGCAAGCGCTGCAGAGCTCCACCTCACACATGCTGGGTAAGGCTCTCCCACTCGCCATCTTCTGTCCTGTGATGAACCACAGTTATATTTTTTTGGCCTTTCCCCTTAGCTAGTCCCTTTCCAGGTATTGGGGGAAGGAAGACAGCTCCTCTAAATGGTGTCTCACAGCGCCAGGCCCTGTCCAGGCAGTAAGAGTCCCATTTATTGTGTATACTTGAATATCCCCCAAGGCTCCAGCACTCTCCCCTGTATCTCTCTGAGATCAATGACTGAGCCCAGCTCCTGGGATGGACCTCCAGCGATGGCCCTCTCATGGAAACCAGTCCTTGCTGAGGCATCCTACCCTGAGATTTCATCTCACTTCATTTCACTGCCCCCAAGTTTTCATCTTGGAGGAACTATTTTGCTCCTCCTTGCAGGTGTGAGAGAAAAGCCAGAGAGCATGGACTGATAACACCTGATGGGGTGTTGTCCTCCTGAGCCTGCAGTGAGCTGAAATGGCAGCTCAGAGCTGAGGGTCTTACACTCAGCAGTGCAAATAATTCTACAGCCTAATGATGGCTGCTGAAAATACATTCAGGGAACTGCTCTGATACTTAACATTTTAGTAAAAAATTTCCAAGAGATGTGTCCCTTCTGCAGACTCATCTGCACGACCCAGCTCACTCTTCTGCTCCCTGTCATCAGTCTCTTCCCTTCACGGTTTCATAATGCCAACACTGGTGAAGTGGGACCACGCACAGCATCAGCAGTGGGTGCTGTAGCTACTTTCCCGTAGCACAGCCAGAACCGTGCACCGTAGCTGAGGTGCCATTGGGGGTGGAAATGGGGCTCATAGGGGCTGCGGCAGAGCAGAAACCCAGCACCCAGAGCCCAGGGCAGAGCCGAGGCTGCCTGCCGGCACCATCAGCTGTAGCAGAGCGCTGGTCTGGCAGTTCATGGGCTGGAGCAACCCACATCAGCAGTGCCTGGGGACTGGTGGCAGAGCTGAGCCCTGGGGAGGAAGGGTGTAGAGAGCAGTGCGTTGTGATATCTGTTGGACTTTCACACCCGTATATCATTAGCCTGAGTCGCACGCTACTGGTCTGCGTCCTTGGGCATGCAAGGAAATGGTCATGGGATTTTTCC